AGTATTTCCAGCAGATTTTTATGTCCTTGATATGGATGATGATGACTCACCGAATTTGAGTTCAATTCTTCTAGGAAGACCCTTTTTGAAAACAGCCCGGACAAAAATTGATGTGTATGATGGTACATTGTCCATGGAATTTGATGGGGAGGTGATAAATTTCAATATCTATGATGCTATGAGATATCCAAGTGATATTTCATCTTTGAATTTTGTGGATATCATAGAACCATTGACAGAGGAGTGTTTTGATTTGTCTAATCTTGATGTGTTAGCTCTCATTTTAGACAGGAATCTTCAAAAGGAAAAAGTGAAAAAACTTGCCAAGCAATTTAAAATTGATGAAGAGATTATGGAAGTTGTGTCTTGCATGGATGAGAAGAAGAAAATGAGGTTTGATGTTCCGAAACTGAAGTTATCAATGCCTAATGAGAAACTTGTTCCTTCTATTGTGCAGGCACCGGAGTTGGAGCTCAAGACTTTACCCGAGCACCTCAAGTATGCGTATCTTGGAGAGAAAGAGACTTTACCAGTGATCATCTCCACAAAGTTGTCAACAAAAGAAGAAGAAGAGCTTGTCACCACTTTAAAGGAGTATAAGGAAGCTATTGGGTGGACTATAGCCGACATCAAAGGGCTAAGTCCTTCGCTTTGCATGCACAAGATCCTTATGGAAGAAGATTACAAGCCTTCCCGAGAAGCTCAAAGGCGTTTGAATCCTCCAATGATGGAGGTTGTGAAAAAGGAGATTTTAAAGTTGTTGAATGCGGGGATGATCTATCCTATATCGGATAGCAAGTGGGTAAGTCCAGTCCAAGTTGTACCCAAGAAGACAGGTATTACTGTTATAAAGAATGACCAAGGTGAATTAGTCCCCACCCGTGTGCAAAACGGGTGGAGAGTTTGCATAGATTATAGAAGACTCAATTCCTCCGGAAAGACCATTTCCCACTTCCCTTCATTGATCAAATGTTGGAAAGATTAGCGGGAAAAACACACTATTGTTGCTTGGATGGGTATTCCGGTTTTCATCAAATACCCGTTGCACCCAAGGATCAAGAAAAAACCACTTTCACATGTCCCTTCGGAACATTTGCATATAGGCGGATGCCTTTTGGACTTTGCAATGCTCCTGCCACTTTTCAAAGGTGCATGGTAAGTATTTTTTCAGAGTATGTTGAGGAGATCATTGAAGTTTTTATGGACGATTTCACAGTTTATGGTAATTCTTTTCATGAGTGTTTGGACAATTTGAAAATGATTTTACAAAGATGTATTGAGACCAACCTTGTTTTGAATTATGAAAAGTGTCATTTTATGGTTGATAAGGGTCTCATACTTGGTCATGTTGTGTCTTCTAAGGGGGTTAGAGGTAGACAAAGCAAAAATTGATGTCATTAATTCTTTACCTAATCCTACTTGTGTTCGTGAGGTACGCTCGTTTCTTGGTCATGCAGGTTTTTATAGAAGGTTCATCAAAGATTTTTCCAAGATATATCGTCCCATGTGTGAGCTTCTACAAAAGGATGCAGAGTTCGAATTTTCCAAAGAGTGCAAGCAAGGTTTTGATCAGTTGAAGGAGTTGTTAATCTCAGCACCAATACTTCAATCACCGGATTGGAGTTTACCCTTCGAAATCATGTGTGATGCTAGTAATAAATGTAGTTGGTGCAGTGTTAGGGCAAAGAAAAGACCGAGTTCCTCATGTCATTTATTATGCCTCAAAAACACTTGATAGTGCACAGGCCAACTACTCAACAACTGAGAAAGAATTGCTATCTATTGTCTTTGCTTTAGATAAATTTCGTCAATATTTGCTAGGTTCTAAAGTAGTTGTTTATTCTGATCATGCAGCTATTAGGTACCTAATTGCAAAGAAGGATTCGAAGCCTAGACTCATTCGATGGGTATTACTCTTACAAGAGTTTGATATTGAAATCAAGGACAAGAGCGGAAAATCAAACCTTGTAGCTGATCATCTTAGCAGGATCGTTTCTCCCGATGACTCAACTCCCATTTATGATGCATTTCCCGATGAGAACCTATTTTCAACAAAAGTTGCCCCATGGTATGCAGATATTGTGAACTATATTGTCACAAATCAATTTCCACCAGATTTGACTCGATGGCAAAGAGATAAAATCAAGAAAGAAGCCAAGAGGTATGTATGGGATGAGCCATATCTGTGGAAATATTGTGCTGATCAAATGATTAGACGATGTGTGCAACAACATGAGGTATCTTCTATCTTAGCATTTTGTCACTCTTATGCTTGTGGAGGGCATTTTGGTCCTTAACGAACTGCAAGAAAAGTATTAGAGAGTGGATTTTACTGGCCAAGTATTTTCCATGACTCTTATGTTTTTTGTGCAAGCTGTGATAAGTGTCAAAAGATGGGTTCTTTAAATTCAAAGAATCAAATGCCCCTAAATCCCATTTTAGTTTGTGAAATTTTCGATGTTTGGGGCATTGATTTCATGGGACCTTTTCCATCATCTTCAGGTTTTACTTATATCCTTTTGGCTGTGGATTATGTTTCCAAATGGGTGGAATCAAAAGCTACCCGTACTAACGATTCAAAAGTTGTGATAGATTTTTTGAAGGCTAACATCTTTTCCAGATTTGGTGTTCCTAAGGCCTTAATCAGTGATCGTGGTACATATTTTTGCAATCGTATGCTCGGGGGTGTTTTGAAGAAATATGGTGTTACTCATAAAGTTTCCACATCATACCATCCACAGACAAACGATCAAGCTGAAGTGATCAATCGACAAATCAAGGGCATCTTGGAGAAAACTGTGAATACAACAAGGAAAGATTGGTGTACACGTCTTGATGATGGTTTGTGGGCATACCGCAATGCATACAAAACTCCAATTGGGATGTCTCCATATCGCATTGTTTTTGGGAAGCCATGTCGATTACCCGTTGAGTTGGAGCATAGAGCTTATTGGGCAGTCAAACAATTCAATATGGATTTAAATGAATCAGGAAAAAAGAAGAAGCTTGACATACAAGAGCTTGAGGAAATTCGCAATGAAGCATACGAGAATGAAGTTCTTTAAAAGGAAAAGACGAAAGCATACCATGACAAGATGATTTCACGCAAAGTATTTCAAACAGGTCAAAAGAGATCACAAGTGAGAAAACAGGGAAGATATTTAAAGTGAACGGTCATCGTTTAAAGCCTTATTATAAAGGATTTGAGGTTAAAAACGAGGAAGTGGAGGAAGTAGCGGATCCAAAGTATCAAGATTGACAAATAATTGGGGTCCATGTCGAGCCACCGACTTTAAACAAAGGCAGCTACCCGAGATGCAACTCGGGGGTATTTTGGTCATTTTTGTAAAATTTTCGTATGGACATTTGCTTTTAAGTTTTTGTGTTCCAAGGTTCTTAGAATAATTAGGGGAGTCTAAAAATAATTTTTATGAAGATTGGAAGTGAGCGGGTGCGGAAATCAGAAAAATCAAGGTGCGTCTCTCAGAACATTACACGGGCCGTGTAATGCATGCCTTTGAAAAACACGGCCGTGTAATGAAGCTTGATTTAGAACTTTTGGAGTTACACGGCCGTGTAACATTACTCTTGCCATTACACGGGCCATGTAACGAGGCCTGTACATTAAAATAAAAAAAAACGCAGCTTCTTTATTTCTTTCTTCATCCAGTCGCGACCCTCTCTTCTTCTCGTCCCCTTACAACGAAAACACACACATACACCTCAAGCTTCGATCTTACATGGAATTAAGCATGCAAGGTATGATTTTTCATTCCCCTTTCTTCTTCCTTACACTCAAGAAGCTTCAAAACACCATTTTCATGGTGATTTTCGGATTTTTGGAAGAACCCTAGAAATTGGGGTCCAAAAATTTTGTTTTAATTTCTTCAAATTGTTTGTAGGATAAGCTTGGGGAAGCATTGTGGAAGAGATTACAAGTGATTTCAAGCATCAATTTCGTGTTTCAAGCTCTAAATCGGGTATTCTCTTTCCAATTCTTTGACTTTGCATTATTAGTAAAAAAAAAAGCTTTAATTTTTGTGCTTAATCTGTCATATTGAGTGTTGATTGTGTGTTGGTCATATTAAGTGGTTGTGCATTGTGCTTAAGAGTCAAATTTTTGTGCTTAATTTGTTTTTCTCATGGCTTCATCATCTCGTGGGAGTGGTAAAAAGGGTAATTCCAAGCGTTCTAGAGTCGTTGACTCTAGTGATAGTCAACGTCACCCAAACCCTCCACGCCAAAATTCGGGTGCATTGACATTCTTAGACTCTCAACAAGAAGCTAGGTATCACAACTTTCTTGGTTGTAGGCGTGCAACACAGAAATTCGCGGACATGCCCACTCTTGAATCCCTCCATATTCATGACCAAGTTCGTGTTTTGTTCAGAAATATTGGATGGGAAGGTTTGTTGTCATTGCATGATGTTGGGTATGTCCAACCAACTCTTGAATTTCTGTCATCTGTTTCTTTCAATCAAAGAACCGAGTATCTCTCATTCCGTGCTTTTAGCCGTAATTATCAGTTGCACAAAAATCAATTATGTGAACTCATTGGTGCTCCAATTGTTAACACTTACGGTCCATTTCACATATTGAATTTTCCATTTCAAGAGGATGCTAAAGCTTTTTGGGAGAGAATTTCAGGATTGACATACTTTCCAAGTGCTGCCAAAGCATCAAGTATCATTCATCCTGTTCTTAAGGCCACTCATCGTATCCTTGCTTCTATTGTATTTCCACAAAATGAGATTAGCAAGGCTGGCCAAAAAGAATTAGAGCTTATGCGGTGTATGATTCATAACCCAAATCAACTTCCTGATTTTGGATTATGGATCATTTTCAAATTGTTGAAAATATCCCGCAACACCAATGGTAAATTACTTTGTGGGGGTATAATCACAATTATCCTCAAACACCCAGCTCTTGCCATTCGCTTTCCACACGGTCTCGATGTTATTGAAGGAGAAACTCGCCTCACGACAAACATCTTTCAAAACATGCATTTGTTCCATACCAGTTATGAAACAGAAACCATTTATTGGGCTGTTGATAGTCATGATTACCTTAGCATCGATCATCATAATTCTCAGCTTCTTCGATTGTCCAATCCCATCCACAACACTGTGTGGCGCCTTAGGTCCAATTTAGGTGTTCCGATGCCCGAGCCTGATCCTGATTCTGATGAGGATGAGCCCCTTCCTGATGTTGCTGCTCCAGTGCAGCAAGAACTTGTCATGCATCCCCATCATGACATGTATATGCAAGAATTTCGTAGGTTGCATGAAGACAATCGGCGTTTGCATCGTGACTATTCTGAACTTTATGATAGTGTTTGTGAGATAAATACTGAGATGGTGGAGTTTAGCGAAGAGTTTTATACCTTTAGAGACAATCAACAAGCCCGCAACCAACATGTGGATTCCCTTGTGACCGACATGCATAGGGTACGTTGTTTAGGTGGTCAACCTACACGACCACCTTATTACCCTCAATATCCACATTACCCCCCACCATACAATCCACAATTTCCACATCAATATCCTCCTCCATTCCCACCTCAAGATCCTCCTCAATAATTTTGTCCCGCTATCTTCCCAAGCATCGAGGACGATGCATATTTTTAAGCTTGGGGAAGGGTGTATCATATAAAAAAATAGCATATTCATTCATTGCATGATTAAAAAAAAGTAAAAAAATAAAAAAATAAAAAAATAAAAAAAAATATAAAAATAAAAATACAAAAATATTTTTTTCTTTTTCATTTAGGTTTTTAGGATCATTTCATGAATTTTTCTCTCCTCTTTCTTCTCATCTTTAGAATGCCTTTAACTTTTTGTCGCAATACATAGTGAAACTTTAGAACTATTGAGAACACACTTATTTGCTATTCACTTAGTGGCGGTGCATTGAGGTATATTATGACAAGCAGCTCCTCTTAAATAATTCGGGTCACAGCAGGTGATAATCAAATGTAGGGCGTTTTTTTTAAAATACCCGTGAGTACGTTATTGTGTGAATCGGTAAGGCATAAGGAGGCACAAAAGTTCATTTGGTTGTCTAGTTTTGTTTTTAGTTTATTTTGTTAATCGTTTGTATATATGCTTGTTTTATTTTGTTTTGTAGTATTTAGTTTAGACAAATTGACTTTTTGTTGGATTATACATGATCTTCGCTTGGTTCAAAAAGATTGGTTCGAAAAAAAAAACAAAAAAAAAATAACAATAATAATAATAGGATTTATGCAGCTTTTTCGACATTAGTCTTTTTGCATTTTAAAGTCAAATCAATGTGTCGAAAGAATAGTTGTTAAAGTTGTTTAATATTTTCATTCTAGTTTTCTAGTTGTAAATATTAGAAGTTTATCGTTATTTTAAACCAATTTGTTTTCCAAAGTCAAAAACCGCGAGATCATCAAAATGACGAATTTCAAAGTCAAATCTCAACAAGTATTTGTCATTTATAAAGAGTTCTTCAAAAGTCAATTTATCAAGTTATCAAAAAAAAAAAAAGAATTAGTTTATGTTTGTTTTTCATTTCTTTTGTAATATTTAAGTTGAGTCTTTGTACATATCCATGCTGCTTTCTAGTAAAAAAAAAGAACCGAACCAAGCCTTTCCAGATTTTTCATGATGATATATTATAGGAAATTCATTTGTGTTTGATTGTTAGCTTGTTTAGCATTAGAAGTTTATTTTGAAGCCAATAATTATGATTATATGGTTCTATTTTGTATATTTGTTGTTGTTGTATATTTCTTTTGCGCTCCTGATATGGTTATGGATTTATCTCCTATTGTGGATTACCGAGAGTTGACACGGATTTTGGAAGAAGATATGAAGATTGTGCAACCACAAGCTATTGAAGAGCATGGGGAGAAAACTAAGAAGAATAGGATATGCCTTACCGACGTCGAGTGCCCTCCACCTTAAATAACGAGTGTAGATTCTTTGATAGGAGTGAGTTCACACATCTTATGAAATGAGTGCATACACGAGTTGAGTGCTTCAGTGAGCACGCCCTATAGATTGAGATGCACCTACCTTGACAGTAAAAGTTACTAGGAGATGCCTTATACTATGGTTCTATGCAATTAATCCAAGTGGTTGGCAAATCTTTGTGTTCCAAGTCTTCTACTGTCCCGATTTGGAATGCAGTACATTCGTATTTGTTTGGGGTATAGGTTGACAACTCTTTAATCATGATTATGTTGTCGGGATAAATAACTTGAGGCATTCTTTCTTTTTATTTCTATGTTTGCATTCATCTCTTCCAAGGTTAATTTTTTTTTTTTTTCTTGAGGACAAGAAAAGGTTCAAGCTTGGGGAGATTTGTTAGGTGCATAAATTGCACCTTTTCATAAGCTAATTTCATGTTTATTTATAGCATTGCATTGCATTTTTAGTATAATATTCATTCATTTTGCATTAAAGGACATTATCGAGGATCTATCGATATTTCACCATTTTTTGTGGATGTTTCAGGATGATTTGAAGATTGGAGCATGCTTAGGATGGTCAAGGGAAGCTCTCGGTGAAATTTCGGAACTTTCGGAGCTAAATTGAAGAAATGAAGAAAATTGGAGATTGACTATCTTACAGAGTCATTACACGGCCGTGTAATGGCAAGGCATGTGTTACGCGGGCCGTGTAACGTGATTTGATTGAAATTCAAATTCTTAACTTCCGATTTAGGATGTTCTTCTGGCATATTCAAATAGAACTTCGACTTGGAACTGTAGGGGGCGATTTTGGTGTATCATATCATCATCTAACATTTTGGAAACACTTTAATTTGCTTTTTGTAAGTTGATTTGAAGATCCTACTTGTTAGATTTGTAGTTAACTTAGACATGTGTGGCTAATTTCTCAATCATTTCTGATTCTGGATTCCTAAGTGTTTGTTGTTAAGTTGTAATTTGCACTTGACTTTATGTTTATTATCTAGTAATCTTTGATTTCGACTTAATTACATGTTTGATTGGTTCTCTTTTCACTTGATCAATGAATTAGGGTTCTTATCAATCTAGTTAATCAAATTGTGAAATTCGTATATGTTTTATGATTTGATGTTAGTAACATGCACTTGATTGGTTGTAATTAGATCAAAATCAGTGTAATCAAAGATTAAATGTTCATATCCCAAGCTTATGAGGAATGTTGAACATTGTTGGTAATTGTTACAAGAACTTAATGTCATTTAATGATTTGATCCAAGAACTTGTTTGGATTGAATCAATTAAATGAAGTTTTATTTGAAGAACTTGTTTTGAATAAAATACTTTTGTCAACTTGGATATTAGAGTTTATTAATATCTAAATTACCAACCTAGATTGAACATGAGTTATAATCATATTACATCTTTCAACATAATACATGTATAGGAATCAGAATCGGAAATGTACTTCTTTTACTGCTTTTTGTTATCAATCTTGCTTATTTATGAAGTTTAATTCGAGTTCAAACACAACCCCCATTTTAATTTTTGTTTGTATGATGTGTGAGAATATGGCTAAATAAGAAGTCTCGTATTCCTGTGGATCGACCCTGCTTACTCTATACTATCTCTAGTGTATGAAGTAACAGTGACTTGAATTTTATTGTTATTATTTTTATCCCATTATTTGTTGGTTTGACAACCAAACAAATTGGCGCCGTTGCCGGGGGATACGGTAGTACTAATTGTTTATGCCAAGATCTTTTCGCACAGGTACACCTTTACCACTTGATTTGGAGATAGAGAAATCTGCAAAACAAAGAAGGAGGCAAGCCAGACTTTTAAAGAAACAACAACAATCCGGAGCTTCTTCATCAAATCCATCAAACACCATCTTCACCAACACCTAAAAGTACCACCCCACCATCTTCACCTTTACCCGAATCTGAAACCTTTATCCTTACTCCTACCATGGGGGACAACCATGGCCAAAATCCTCCAAATCCACCACCTGAACAAACCTTTAGACAGTAGGCTACTCAAGATGTCACCCAACAACCTTTGTGCATAAATTACCCTGTAGCAATCAACTTTGAACTCAAGTCTGGACTCATCCATTTGTTACCCTCATTCTGTGGTCTTGAGAATGAAGACCCACATAAATTCCTTAAGGAATTTCATGTTGTCTGTGTGGGTATGAAGCCACATGAAGTCACAGAAGATCAAATCAAATTAAGGGCATTCCCCTTTGCATTACAAGATTCAGCTAAAGAATGGTTGTATGACTTGCCACCGGGGTCAGTCACAACGTAGAATGAACATGCAAGGATGTTTTTGGACAAATATTTTCCAGAGATGAGAGCTTCGGCCTTACGAAGGGAAATCATTGGTATCAAGCAACAAAAGAGAGAAGCTTTGCATTCTTACTGGGAACGGTTCAAGAAGTTGTGTTCAAGATGTCCAAAACATGGGATTTCAGAGTATCAGTTGTTGCAATATTTTTGTGATGGAATGTCATCTTGGGATAGGAGATTACTCAATGCATCAAGTGGTGGATCCATAGCTGATAAAACTCCAATGGAAATCAGAGCTCTTATCAAGAACATGGCAGAAGAGTCCAAGCATACAACACAAGAAGAAGAATGGTACAGTGATGCACCAAGAGGAGTGAAAGAAATCTCTACCCCAAAAATTTAGAGTCAACTTTCTGAGTTGACTAAAGTAGTGATGATGCTTGCTAAGGATAAGGGTGTGCAACCATCAGTAGTTAGACCTTGTGGTATTTGTACCCAAGTTGGACACCCTACTGATATGTGCCCAATGTTACAAGAAGATGTAGAGCCGGTTCAAGCTATGGGATTCTCAAGCCAACAGCAAGGGAACTTTCAGCCAAGAAGCAATCCAAATTGGCACCAACCCAATGCCAATTTTCAGCCAATGCCACCTTATCCACCAAGACCTCCATTTCAAAATCAAATGCATCATCAACAAAATTATCAACCACATTTCCAGCCAAATCAACCTCATCATCAATCTCAATTCCAACCTCAAAACATGCAGCAAGGAAGCAGTTCAAGCGGGTCAGGAACGTCTTTGGAAAACATTGTCAAGAGTTTAGCCACAAGTACTCAAACATTTCAAAATGAGACCAAGGCGAGCATCAAGACTTTGGAGCAACAAATGACTCAACTTGCCACTTCTGTGAGTAAATTGGAGTCATAAGGCAAACTACCCGCACAAACCGAAAAGAATCCAAAGCATAGTGCATGTGCCATCACTTTGAGAAATGGCAAAGAATATGAAGGTCCAAAGATGATTGAAGAAGAAGAGATGGAGCTAGAGAAAGAAGAAGAGAAGTCAAAAACACCCTCAAAGCAAGTTTCCATTGAAGCAAAAGTCACTCCTCCTCCATTTCCAACAAGGTTAAGCAAGTCAAAGCGTGAAAGGGAAGACAATGAAATCATGGAGATGTTCAGAAAGGTTGAGGTAAATACTCCTCTTATTGATGCCATCAAACAAGTCCCTAGGTATGCTAAATTCCTTAAGGAATTATGCACCTCTAAGAAAAGATTGAAAGGGAATGAAACTGTTAAAGTTGGTGAAAATGTGTCTGCAGTGTTACAGAAAAGATTACCTCAAAAATGTAAGGATCCGGGTGTTTTCACGGTTCCTTGTAAGTTAGGTAATCTTCATGATCCACGAGCTATGCTAGACCTTGGAGCTTCTATCAATGTTTTGCCATATTCTATTTTCAAAACCTTAAATATTGGCATATTGAAGAAGACCGGGGTGATCATTCAATTGGCTGATCGATCTTTAGTGCACCCAAAAGGTGTACTAGAAGATGTGTTAGTCCAAGTCAATGAATTAGTATTTCCAGCAGATTTTTATGTCCTTGATATGGATGATGATGACTCACCGAATTTGAGTTCAATTCTTCTAGGAAGACCCTTTTTGAAAACAGCCCGGACAAAAATTGATGTGTATGATGGTACATTGTCCATGGAATTTGATGGGGAGGTGATAAATTTCAATATCTATGATGCTATGAGATATCCAAGTGATATTTCATCTTTGAATTTTGTGGATATCATAGAACCATTGACAGAGGAGTGTTTTGATTTGTCTAATCTTGATGTGTTAGCTCTCATTTTAGACAGGAATCTTCAAAAGGAAAAAGTGAAAAAACTTGCCAAGCAATTTAAAATTGATGAAGAGATTATGGAAGTTGTGTCTTGCATGGATGAGAAGAAGAAAATGAGGTTTGATGTTCCGAAACTGAAGTTATCAATGCCTAATGAGAAACTTGTTCCTTCTAATGAGAAACTGAAGTTATCAATGCCTAGTGAGAGTGTGTGAGCCATCTTTGAGTGAGTTTGTGTGCATTGAACCTTGTGGGAGAAGAAGAAGCTTGGGGATTCAATAAAAGGCTCTTAGATCCAGAAACATCTTCCCATTCTCATCATTTTCGGGTAAGCAAGTCTCAAACTTGCTCAATGATTTCTTAGATCTCTTCATTTTACTTTTATGGGGGTTTTTGGTCCAAGAATGTTAGCTTTTGAGACTTGGACGTCCCAAGTGATTACTCTTTCAGATCTGGGGTCTAGAAGGGGTTTCATGGCATAAAGGTGCAAACTTTATGGCCATGGAAGCCCCATGCAAGCTTTAAGGTATCATTTTGGCCTTTTAAGCTCCAAAAGGCCATGCATGGAAGGAAAGTTAGCAACTTTACATAAGATATCAGCTTTAGAGGACCAGATCTATGGTTTAGAAGCATTGAACTCGACTGGAAGTGACTGAATGGATTTAGACTAAGAGGGACTCGACGAGTTGTTCATTCAACTTGGCAAGTTGGGTCGAAGGCCCCAACGTTTTTTGACTATTGAGCAGACTCGGTGAGTTTAGGAGATGACTCAGCGAGTTGGCTAGGGTTTCAAGGGTTTTGATGACTGAAGAACTCGACGAGTTCAAGGAAGGACTCGACGAGTTATAGTGAAAAGTCTTAATTCTGCTATAGGGAAGAACTTGAGGAGTCTGAGGAAGGACTCGACGAGTTGGATCGTGTTTTCAGGATATATGGTTCATAGGACTCGACGAGTTGATGGACCAACTCGGCGACTTGAGTCAACCAGAATGTTGACTTTGACTTTGACCAGGAGTTGACTAGGGTTGACCATTCAGTATTTTAGGCCTTTTTGGTATTGGGCCTTCTCGGATTAGGTCCATTGATGGAGTTATGGACAGTATAGTATTGGGCTTTTGTTTTGGGCTTGGGCCTCAGTTTTGGATCATACTGGGCCAGGGGTAGAATGGTTATTTTACCCCATGTATGGATTAATGATTATAGTATGGAACCCAATTGCTAATTCGGTATATTGATTGGTATTGGCAGCTCGGGAAGTTGGAGGGGCAGTAGCTAAAGATGTCATTCGGGAAGCTTCTGCATTCGAGGTGAGTCTCCTCACCATACAACTGGGTCGAAGGCACCAAGGCCGACCCATTTTATGATATGTGGTACACTAGTTGATGCAGTGATATGTTGCATGTTAGTTGGTTATATGCTAGGTGGTATGCTAGTTGTATATGTGGTGTACTTGCATGAAAGACCATGGGGGAGCCCATGATGTT